AAAGATGCAATAAAATTCAACAATTTATTCTATGTACAAAATTTTTATGTACTTATACGTAGGAACCTGACATCCAGGAAAGGTCATCAAAATACAAAAATATTAATAGCATTGGGCTGACAGCTGCATGTGGCCTTATCGTTGTATTGGTACACAAAGGGGTAATGGCCTAAAGCTTTTCTCGTGCTTGGGGTGTCAGTATGTTTCAGGAAGCTGTCGAATGCACAAGGAAAATTGATAGCGGAGTGATGGGTGGACACAGGAGAAACAAAAGCATGTTTATCAACTCTTTTTTTTTTCACATTGTTTTTGGGTTTTCTGTGCTTTTTTTTTTTGTATTAGGTTTGCCAACAGCTCACCGGTGTATTTCTGAGATAAGTATGGCGGTGTTTTGAATATAAGGATTAAGCTACATCAGAAAAGCAGGAAAATGTGGAGTTTTTACGATAATATTAATATCCAGAACTTCCTTTACAAAATGCTCTCATTTTTGTGCATGCCCTGTAAGTTACAAGGTATTAAACTTTCGTAAAATAAACAAACTACATTAAACATTCATATTAATCCGGTGTCTATAGTAGCCTAATTCAGTACTAATTACACAAAATAAAGATAATCAATCTCACGATAATAGCATTAGGTCATTACCTTTCATCGTTATTGAATTTCTGTATTTGAAACCAGGCAATTTTGCAAAGACATTATAACATAAAACATCCTATGAATAGGACTGGTACTTCAAAAATCTGAGAATAAAAGAAAAAAAAAAAAAATCTACATATACATTCTTATCCATAGGTCTTCCCTACAAAAAAAGAAAAAAGAAAAAAAAGGAAAAAAAGATTCCTACATACTTTTAAAATAATTTTTAACACTTATGGGTGAAATCCGGCTTGAATTCCTTAAACATTACAATCAATTCTCGAGCAATGTCACAAAATGAACACTTACAATAGGGTTATGGATGGAAAACAGTAAAAAATAAATACATACATAAATAAAAATATTGCCACATTCAGTTCACACAGAAAGGCATTACAAATACATAGAGAATGAATATAGATATTTCTTCTATTAGGTATTAATACTTAAAAACATAGGTGTATTCTTGGAAATATCACTTGCAAAATTAATAGGCTGGTTATGTAGCGGGTTAATTTGTAATATAAAATACACTCAAAAGGAATAATGCTTGCTAAAGGCATTTTTTTTTTCAGATATAACTTGCAACATTTATAGAATACACAATATTATAAACCAGCAATTTTAACCTTTCAAATTCTGTATATCATATCCTTTGTAAAGAAAAGAAAACTGCAATAACAAAATGCCTGTGTGTGTGTGTGTGTGTGTGTGTGTGTGTGTGTGTGTGTGTGTGTGTGTGTGTGTGTGTGTGTGTGTTGTGTGTGTGTGTGTGTTGTGTGTGTGTGTGTATGTGTGTGTATGTGTGTGTATGTGTGTATGTGTGTGTATGTGTGTATGTGTGTGTGTGTATGTGTGTGTGTGTGTGTGTATGTGTGTGTGTGTGTGTATGTGTGTGTGTGTGTGTGTGTGTGAGTGTGTGAGTGTGTGAGTGTGTGTGTGTGAGTGTGATGTGTGAGTGTGTGGTGAGTGTGTGTGAGAGTGTGAGTGTGAGTGAGTGTGTGTGTGAGTGATGTGAGTGAGTGAGTGTGTGAGAGTGTGTGTGTGCACGTGTGTGCATGTGTGTGCGTGATTGTTTGCATTACTGTGTGTGCATGTGTGCATGCACAAGCACACATATGCATGTGTGCACTTCCATTAGCAAAAAGATATGGACTGGCAATGCCTTGAAACTGCTGATCAAAATCACATACACTGGACTTTACAAAGGGAATGTTGGAAACATTAGCATGATAAATAGAATCTAGCTCATACATACACTACAAATTCAAAAGGACCTTGCATATTCAAGTGGTGTGAGAAGAAAAGAGAGAGTCCAAAACTCGAGGTTCACTTTCACTGTTCCAGTTTAATAGATCCTACCAAACTGACAAGAATTAAAGAGAAAATCTTATAGTCTTCTTAAGTCTACCACAAAGATGACAAAAGAAGAAAATAGTAACAGATTTCCCTTTGAGAAACCCTGGTAACATTTTGGACCATCTCGTATAGTATTAGAAAACAGTACACCCAGAAAAATAGTACCACAAGATGACAAAGAAGAAAATAGTAACAGATTTCCCTTTGAGAAACCCTGGTAACATTTTGGACCATCTCGTATAGTATTAGAAAACAGTACACTCATAAAATTTAATTACAGGCTTTATTTTCTCCTTAAAAATATTGAGAAAAATAGATGTGCCCAGTTTTTCCGAGCTCTGTTCTATATTTTGAGGTCGACTATAGAGCTAAATATCAGCTCGACGACCTCAGGGTGGGAATTTTTTATTTCACAAAATTACCTGATTACATTACAGAAAATATCCAATCCTTTAATTATCGAAACTCAAGTTCCTGGTATTAGTCTATAGGATATCGTTAGGTAAAATCTACTGAGATATCACTGTGTTTCAGTCTAAAACATTTTTAAAATGGAAGAAAAAATAAAAATTGCACATGGAGATCAATATATCATTTGAGTGTTTCTTTTTTAATTCTCTTCAATAAATTAGTAATCACAATCTAAACAAATAAATTTCCAAATATCAGAAGAATATAATTGAAGACATGAGTAGACTATTCCCAGGAAAAAAAAAATAGTTTTGAATCCCTCTGAAGAAGGATTAATCATACAATCTATTAAGACATAGACTGTGATAACTACAGCTGACATAGACTTTTCCAGACATCTCTTAAAAGCAAAAAACTTTATGGAAAATAAGGAAACTTTATGGAAAATAAGGAAAAAAATGGAAAACAAAATATAATGCAATTCGTCAATATCTCTTAACTTAATTCTTACTTTTCTTTTTTTACCTTCCATTCCTTAACAAAGAGTAAAAAAAAGGCAGCAAACTAGATATATCTTTCCTCTCAATCCACTGAAATCTGCAGAGAACAAAATACTTTATTTATTTTCCATAACATTCATATACTATACTGATAAACTCATCTATATCCAAACCTAAAATATAAAAAGCTAAGCTTTATGACCAACAAAAATAACAGCTACGAATTTACCTTCTTTTATTGCCATTTCAAATATTCATTGCCTACAATATCAATATAATATAATATAAATTTGCATGTGATATCACAGCCCATCAAACCATAAATTGGCTACTTCCATTGTATGTAAGGCTAACTACAGTCTTCTTGCCCTTCTTATGTCTTTATTTACACAAAAACTACTTTTATTGATGCAACGACTTCTTCATCCAAAATAGTAAAGATAATAAAAGATAAAAAAAAAAAATTGCATATTGTGATTGGTGAATGAATTTTTATATTGTTCAAATTAGACAAAGGCAGTAGTTTATATACAAATGGCATGCAAAACAGCAACAAATCTTTAAAATTGCCAGTAACAGAAATGAAGATAATAATGAATATAATAATAGTAATCATAATAAAAACACTAACAATATCAACTGTAATGACATTAATAATAACAATAATAATTATAACAATAAGCAATAGCAATAATAATCATAATCATAATAATAATAATAATAATAATAATAATAATAACAATAATAATAATAACAACAATAACAATAAAAATATTGATAATAATAATAACAAAAAAAAATCTGTGAAGAACCTCGTTGCTTCAACACTGTAAAAAATATTTTCCCACCAAATTTATCAACTATTCATATATTTATTTGTTAGTGTATAATGAATTGTATTGTTAACTCTGTTAATCTAGAATCCATTCTGCTTTCACACACCATAACATACATACATATTTCTGTACAACATTAAATCTTAGAAACAAGTTATATTACCTAGGTCACCTCTGCTAAAACCCTTTTAAAAACTCTGAACTGATTTCACTGGGTTGTAGGATCCTCATCCATTATTTTACATGGAAGGGCTGTTTTCTACTCTGGTTCTTTGTGTTACTCGGGTACAATCGTTCATTACCCGATATCCTTGTCGCTGGAGAATACGAGATATGAGATGTGGTTGCCTGTGCATTAGTTGCATTGAGTTCTCCCTCACTGATTCTTTGACAACTAAATGCTTGCAACCATAATATTTTGTGTCTCATAGAGGGAGAATCTCTCTCTCTCTCTCTCTATGGCACTTTTACCTTTCTCTTGTATTACCATGAGAAAATGGATACCTTAATCTATCCATTATGCAGTAACCTTGTACATTGTCTACCCTCTTATATGGATTTCTAGCTAGTAACAGGTTATTGTTAGTATGAATAACAGCAAAGTTGAAAATCTGAGAAATAAAAATATAAATGCAAATCTGAAATACATATTTGAAACCCAACTTAATAAGTACAAAGCTTGAATGTAATGAATCATATCTTAATTCACCAACTGAACATCAAATGGCATTGTCCTTAATCTGTTTATATACAGTAACACCCCCCAAAAAACATTATTGCTATTCAAATTTGCATTTCCAAGGGTCGGCATTTCCAACATCGGGAGTCTAAATCATAACACATGGATAACAGTTTCTCGGATAACTAGAATATAACAAGAAGGCCCCATTAAACTTACCATTTAATTTACACTGTGACGCATCTTACACTCTAACCATTACTGCAATGGACCCTTATACAGCTGTAGTACAAAAAAACAGCATAGCAGCATATACAGCCACAGAAAAGTGTAGCCCTCAGTAGTTGTTCGTATTCATAACAGAGCTGGGTTACATTACAGCTTCCATTTTGATACCTAAAGATTTTTCTCCACTGCTGGGAATATACCTAGAGAAAAAACTTTTGAAAAATAGTGACAAATGACTTCCATGAATAAAAGGCTGAAATTTCATAAAGTATAAAATCTAAGCAGGCTAAAGTTTTGAGTTCTAGTGGACATACATGTATTTTCCTCCCCCTCTATTTTTTTTTC